TCATCTGTAATAATGTGTATTGTTTTCTTATTTACAGATCATCCTTTCTTATCTCTGAGAACATAACCAAACAAGTTTCATCTCCCACACCAAGAAATAGCAGTCTGTGTTTTGCCTACCAGAAAGTGTCAGTCATGAGTAACGAGGTTGACAAAGGTGAAGATGGAGAGGAAGATGATGCTGATAGCAAATCCAAGAAGGTTTTGATGTCAGATCAGTGATCTACCAAAATTGTATGTATATTTCACCATGCCTTAATAAAGCTACATTAATTTTTCTATGACATGCATCTAGCATTATAATGTTAGGGCGTGAACTTATTTTTTACCACCCAGTTCACTCAGCTAAATTCATTCTTCAATTACTCACCTCCGGCGTTATCTTTTTATAATTTTTAATAGGAAACTTGGCTATCATTTCTTGATGACCTTGCAAGCCATGGACTTGGCCGATCCATTACCAGATTTCCTGCTTATGGGGCTGATCATGTTTTTTAAAATTGTGATCAATTAATAAGCCACATTCAGACATGGAATTCTGGGTTGCAACTGGCAAGGGGGGTTGATGGTAGAGAAGAGGCCCCTGACTTTGGAGGGTATGAAGATGATGAAGACCATGGACAATGGTTCTTCTACACAAGAAGGTATCACTTGGCTGAGGTCTCAACTGTATTGACAATTTAGCTCCAAATTAATCTCATTTCTTGCCCTAACTCAAATTAAGTTACAACTAATTTTGATGGTTGACAATGCAGTGGGGGCTGAAACTTGGAAAGGAACAAAAAGACTAGCAAGAAGCAGTCCTTTCATCAGAAGTTTCCGTGTATGGACGAGGCTCTCTGAGTTAGTTGCATCAAAGGCTATCCCATTCGAGTTGTCAGGTGAGTGATGTTTGAAATTCTCTCATGTGGTAACCAAATTACAAAATCTTCTCTTTTTTGAGGATAACATTGACAAAAACTTAAAATATTTAAAATTTCATGTTCTAACAAAAGTAGTTTGTTCTCTACTTCCCAGGACAAAGGCAATCATGAGTGATGAAGTATGTGACGGTGAGGACCTGAAGATGATGAAGATGGTGTGAATATGATAAGCTTTTAAACCCAGATAAATTAGTTAATAGTTACTTCAGTGGCCTCAATCTCTAGGAATCAGGTTTGTGCTCTGGAGTGTCATTTGATACCACCCACAGCCTGTTTCCAAACCAGCCAAGCATCACAACCAAGTCTGCCAAGTGAAATGGTTTTGATTCTCTTCTCGCCCTCCATGGCTATCCTGGTTGCACCTTCAGATTCAAGATAGTTCTTTTGCTACCACAGGTAAATGTTGATCATATTTCCTGCATCCTGGTTTGTATCAGACCCACTCTGCAGTCTCCAGTCATTTTTGTTCCGTGTCCTGAGTAGATGGTCAGTGTTTACCCAGGTTTCAGAACAA